GTGCGAAATTTGAAAACATAACAACAAGAGCAATAAAAATATATTCGCGCTCAACCTTACGACTTAAGATGTACTAAGCGCTAAACAAACGCAGAGTTATTAACGGCTTAAAAGTGAAAAAATTAACCACAAAGTAAAATGTTTACTTTTTTACAAGTATTTGTTATAAATCAGAGAAATATAATAAAAGCGCAAATGCAGGAGCGAGAGAAAGACAGTTTTAAGCAAAAAACTATGAGCACAAATTTGCCCAAACAGTGGAATAGAGCATAAGTGACGGGGAAATAGAGAGAATTCTGATCGCGAATTACTTCAAACTTTATAGTGCTGCATTTAATGAAAATATTTAACACTTTCGCTACCATCCGTAACGTATATGTGACAGAACGGCTTCTTACCACGCAGACGTTTTTGAATAGTAAGATATGTTTAAACGTATTGTATTAAACAAAATCTTTTATGTTCTGAAACGACAAAATGTATGCACACTGGAATCGGTTTATACGGCAGTTATCGATGAAGTACACGATATTGTTAGTATCGCATAAAAAATCACTTTCATACGCCCATGAACTTTTAAGAATCATCAATGGAAGGCCGATTGGACTGCGTGTAGATAAATGTTTCGAGATTTATCATACATGACCAAATGGATTTCACACTGAAAAATTGTAGTTATACATTTTTTTGTTCTGTCATCCATATCTTCTAATTTAATGTGAGCTAGAAAGTTTACCTTTTATACGTAACCAAGCATCACATATTTGTGTTCAAAAGAACGTTTATTTTACTGTTTTAGAATGTCCATACACAATGCACTATACACGCACGTAAAATATACTCCAAATGATGTCATGTAATCGCACGAGCCTTGGTCTTGGATGTTCGTGGAAATTTTTCGCAGGTAACCCTGGAAGCGAAAGGGTTAAATATGCACTGATTCAAAAGCTTATATGTGTGTATGCTATTGATATTCCCTCATTCAAAACAAGAGTGAAAACTAAGCACGTACACATTTGATTGCAAAACAATGTGTCGATCGGGCTACTTACACTCTCATGTAGCAGTGATACACAAGTGAACAAGTTGTTTTTTTAGCATAAAATCAGCATATAGGTACACACACAACCGCACTTTATAACTGAAAATTTCACTACGCAGCTATCTTCAAGCGTTCAATTTTTACCTTTGACCGCTAATGAAGAAAGGCTAATTCACTGTTGAAAATGATCAGATATTCATTCAGTGCCTATAATAAGCAAAGAAGAAGACGGATCTTATCTAATGTTTACTAAAACTCATTTTAATTTCATTTTACTTATATTGCACTATAAATTGACAACCCTTTCATAATTGTTTGTTAATCAAAATCACGATTTTGCGTGCATTTTACTTCAAGATCTGCAAAAAGTACCTCCACCTCTTTAAAAAAGTATTATAAGATCATTTCCAAGGTCCTTTAATTTTCTTGCACTATTGGTTTCCCATTTTTCGTTGTTTTGAATCGATAAACTCTCAATTTTCACTTTATCGCTATACACATACACCTTTTTACTAATGAATAGTTTCGTCCCCCTTCGCGTTCTAGCGACAATTTCAAACGTCTGACGCATTCAAAAGACTCCGGGTAACTGATCTGCCTCGTTGTGTGTTCATGTAACTCTTAATTATTTAATGTTGTTTTATCTGTAAATTGAGGCTTCGAACTTACTAGTTGCGGTGCATTAATATAAAATATATAGCGGTGTCTCTCAATCCTCTCCCTGTTAATATATCGATGTATAACAGTTCTATGCAAAAATCACTGTTACTAACATTTGCTAAATACAAGAAAATATTGTGCTTGTTTCGTTGTGTCAGGTGATATAATTCAAAAACAAAAAATATATGTGGTTCCAATTATGTAAATAGGTATTACCTTACTACCAGCCCAGCCTGCGTACCCAGCGTAAGTAAGTAAACAAGTTTAACTTATAACTTCAACTATCACCTACAAAGGCTTCAAATAATTCTTATATAAAGCCAATTTATTACAATTAATTAATTACAATTGGTTAAAAATAGCAAGGCATAAATGTGCAAGCAGTGTATAGAAAAGGCGGCTTGGTTCCTTCATCCAGTGGGTTAGCTATCCCATGATCGATAATGGATGCATCATCTTTTAGGTAAATTTTCTATGTTTTTTGAATACGGGTGGGTTGAAGCCAAAAGAATTTGAAATGACATGTCTTTCCACATCTGACCCAATAATATATCTGTCCTCTTCTAAGAAATTCCTAAAAAATCTGGAAAAACACTTATCGACCACATCTTCGAAGCACACGATTTTTCAAATATAAAAATCTAAAGTGCGGCAGTAGTAATGCGGTCAATAAAGCCGATAGCCTTAATCTTTAAGACTCTAGTCTTAGAATTTATTCCCTGGGCAAATTAATAATAACCATAATAAATATTTTACGTATATGTTTAATATTTTTATGTTACTCTAATACTAGAAAGAGAGAGAGCGGTATGTTTGGATTCTTTATTCATCAATGATGCATTTTGGGTAAGCACCACTTATAACTCGGATTCGCAAATATTATAAAGTTGTTTCGGGGGACAAATAGTGAGGAGGCTATGGAATATTTATGGATAAATTGTATAAATTACTAATAGAAGCACGAAACTTAGTGGCTCGTCAGTTTATTTCTTCTTTTGCGTTAACTCGCGTGGCGAGCGGTAAACTGCTTACAAGCATTAAAAAAAGTGCAAGCGTAGTTGCATTTCAGAAAATCATAAATTAGTATTTTTTAGTCTTTCGAGCAGATGCAAATAGAACCGACAATCAAATGATTATTTAGCATACGCCATCTCTCAAATCTAAAATCAAATCTTAAATATGTTCAATGAAGTAAACGAATATGCTTGGCAAATACAGAACGAACAAGGGAAGAAAGTTCTCGGAAGGTTCAATCGCCAATCAAATCACTAGTTGAAGTGATCCAAAAAAGGAAACGTACGAAGAATGATTTACAATGAAGATCGGACAACAAAACGTTAATAGCAGTATTTGATAAGCTCTTTGTCTAGGCGCCGATGATGAATATAACGCTTATATCTGAAATGAAAGGGAAATTTACAGAACTAGACTACTGACGAAAGACTTTCGTGTTCAATTTCGACGTCATTTGTTCCCTTTCCCACGGAGAAGTTGTAACTATTTCCTTTGGCATACATCTGTTCTAGCAGCTTTGGGAGAACTAGGAATAAACTAAGCGAACCGATGAATCCCTGTCATGACTTTATGATGTAGAGAAATTTAAGTAGAAATCAACAGAGACATATGTGAGAAATTTTCGAAAATAGAAGTTGACAAGAAACTGCAACTACCATATAAGAAAATCTCTAGTGTATAGGTCGAGCAGCGTGACCTTGGTTTTCAAAAAAAAAAAGCAAATTTTTTTCGAATCATGGTATTAATTTACGTCTAATTTTATGGCGTTGTTCGTTTATTTGCTGTTACGTGTTTTTGCTAATTTTGTTTTGTTGTCTATTTTGGACTTAAATGTTCCAAATAAATTCGAAAAATGATGACATATATTTAACATTTCTTCTATACCCAATTTTAGGTCCTTGTTCTCCACTCCAATCGCTTCTTTTTGCAGCACAAAGTAAAAATCCGAGTTTCGGATGTATTTACATTATTTTTGTAATTATAATTGTGCGTTAAGAAATGGTTATATAATTATGAAGTTATGGACGCGGTTTTTCTTTCTTTGGAATTTGCTTTCTTAGAAAATTGACTAATTTTCACGAAACTCAAATGATGAAATGAGGGATTTTTTTGTGACATTGTTTATGGAACGAACGCATATATGTAGACATTTGGATACATACACTATATCCCAAAAGGCGTGTAATATCACACATTGATTGCTTACATGACAACAGATGGCAAGTAATTTTTTTTCAATTAGGTAAATCCTTTATAGTAAACTAGAAAATATCGCTCCAAGTAACACACTGTAATAAATTTGAAAGTTTGAATGATGTTGTACAAATGTTTTACTGTGGATGGATTCCCTATGAATCTTTCCAAAGTGTGACCAAGTGTTGTTGTTGCAATGTTGTTTTCAATTGGAGTATATTTCCTAAACTTCTCGGCTTCAATGCGCCAAGTCGATCTACCTCTTGAAAATCCCAATTGAGCCCGGCATGAGGCTGTCCTTAACAATGATACCAGGCAGATGGAACGGCTTTGAGCTTTTAGCGGATTAATACGCTTGCTGAATTGCTTTTAGACAATTGACTTTATTCAACTCTTACCTGGCTATTTATACACAAACTATTACTCTAAATTATGCTAACGTAAACAAATAATAATTGTGTTAGTATTGAGTTTCGAAATGCAATACTCAGCCAGTTGAAGTGCGACATCGTTTTCATTTTTCTTTTTAGCAAAAGAATTATGCTGAATTTGCATAATTTTGTCGCACTTCAAAGTGGATGCATATAACGGTATGCGGTCACACTACAACACTGAATTTTATCACCCAGCTCTAAGGTTTTGGATAAAATTAAGTGGAACTGGAAAGAAGACAATTGACAACAGTATGCATTTCAGGAATAATGAGCACAACAATTTCTGCTTAACTACTATTGTTGAGCACGTCCAAAGTCAACGTGGAAAATAGAAAGAGAAGATATTCAACGCCCAACCCGGGGGCTAATTAAAAAACCAACAATTTTATTATTTTTTATATTGTATTCAGGCTGCCGGTTGCTTGACTGTCTCCTTGACCTAAAAACCCTTTTTAAGCAAACACATTATATTTTAAGTTCCAATACGTAATAAAATAAATAATCCTTGTAAGACGTTGAAAAAAAAATAATGTGAAGGTTGGAGATAGTATCCAGTTTCGAAAGGCAAGTATTAGTTAGTAACGTTCGGAGAGTAGTGCTAATTTAAAACAACTGTCAATATAACTTAACTGAATTAGTGGTGTATTTTCTAGACGCTATTATTAATAAAGCTAACAACAACAAAAGTGGAATATAAGAGTGGAGTAAGCACTCGCTCGATTATCTTACCCACATATTCTCAGCAGAATCACTGATGGATTACTAGCCATATGTTTCTGCCAAACAAAGGTAAAATCGGTCTTTCTTTTTGTGCTTTTCATACCCATAAACGAAGTATGAATTGTATATTAATTTTATCAAAATGCTTACAACGTCTAGAAGAAAGCTCCAGCGAGCCTACAAAGTATATATATAATATATGTTGTATATATATATTCTTGATTAGCATCAAATTATAAATCGATTTAAACTTGTCCGTCTATTCCTCTGTGTAATGTCGGTTGTAAACATTCTCCTGGCCGCAAAAAAGAAGGTATCGAATTCAAATTTGACAGAGACATTGAAAGTTCTTGTACGCAAGCTAGTATTAAAAGCGGGCCAAATCAGTGAAAGGACTCGCCTCCCATGTAAATTGGGAACAGCTCCGTTTTTCAAAGGGAATAAAAAAATTGCAATTTTTGCTCATTACTCTTAAACTACAGCAAATAAATCTACAAAAATTTCAATGTATATTCTAGATGGGAACATCGCAGCTTTCCGTGCCGTTGCACACAAAATACAACAGATACACGATATAAATTTCCACAAAATTACTGTACAAAAATAAAAATATTAAACCATGCCTACTAACTATTATGGAGTATGCAAATTTATATTTTTACTTCTTTTGAAACTTCTACAGGATAGCAATGATGGATGTAAAAAATTCGGTCGTAACGAAATATAATTCTCTTGCTTGTTTTTCTTAATTTACTTATTAATCAATTTTATAAAATTGTAGCGCAAAACATGGCTAAAACATTGAAACGTGCATAATAAAATTATTATAATAATATAATATATTAATAATGTACCTTCAATTTCCTGCTTTCTTTAGAGCTGTGTCGTTTTTTTACTCATTAACGAAGGATGAGGCGTATATTCACTGTGTCAAAATATTTGCAACTACAGCAATTGATGCAACAGAGACAACACAAAGTATATATATTCTTGATCAGCATCAAATTCTAGATCAATTTAAACATGTTCGTCTGTGTGACTGTCTGTCAGGGTAAGGTTTGTTTTAAACATTCTACTTATCGCAAAAATGAAACTATCGACTTCAAATTTGGCAGTAATATTGGAAGTTTTTTCATCCAAGTTGGTCTTGGAAATAGGTCAAATCGATTGAAGGACACGACCGTAGTAAAAATATAAATTAAGAATACGTCTGTTTTCCAAAAGGAATTAGGAAAAGGTTTTTTGCTGATTACTCATAAACTATAGCAGATAAATATGCAAAAATTTGAACTTATATTTTATGGGCGATATTATAATGTATCAAATTTGAATTTTCTTTTCACTACCTTTAGAAGGCACAGAAACAAGCTTAAAAAACTGCATAAAATATATAATTTCTAGGCCAGTCACAAATGTAAACATGTCAGTCTGTGCGTCTATCCTTCTGTCTGTCTCCGCAACTGTGTAGTATTTGTAGTATATATTCTTCAATCAGCGAAAATGAATATATCGCTTACAAATTTGCAAAAGAATTTGGAAGTAATTTAAACTTTTCCAAGGACACGGCTGGAACACTCACACGCCTGTACGACGAAAACTTTTATTCTAAAAATAGAAAAAATCAGCCACGCCTACTTCATAATAGGGAGGACGAAGATTAACTTCTTTTATTTTTTCAGCGTTTTTGAGGACAAGAGTGATGGGTATTTTTTATATTTGGTTACGAACGAATATAATTTTCTTCTTAGTTTTTTTACATTTCATTTTGTGATTGGGAGCTTGCACGGATTTTAATTATTTTTTCATATGAAAGAGGAACTTATTGAAAAAAATTGTTACAATATATGTTAATCAAAATGTTTTCCACTATTTTCCGTAACGCTTTCTCATCTTTCTTGTAACAATGCGATATAGGAACGAAAGAACGATATTGGTCTAACATTTTCGCACTTCCTCAACATTTCAAAATCGCTTGACACCTACAACAAGTGGCAACCAGAAGGCGCTATGTCTGGTGAGCACGCTGAGTGTGGCAGAACTTTCCTTACGCGCCGCAACAGCATATCCTTTATAGTTCTTAGAACATGTGGACGAGCCTTGTCATGCAAGTCGATGACGTTGCGTCTGTTAACCGCTTTCGTTGGTCTTCTTTGCACCAATACCTGGTTCAATGTGTTTAATTGACGTTGGTACACATCTGCAGTAACAGCTTCAGTCGGTTTTGACAGCAAAACTTTGTGAACATGTGGATGGCTTTCCTCGACTGAACCGTGACTTTTTCCGCTGGAGATTGTCGTAGTAGACATCAAAATACGAAATTTGACATAGAGTGGTAAAAACGATGGCAAGCAAACACGTCAGGGTTGATTACTTCATTTACAAATTCATGCAAAGTCCGCGTATATTTATGTAGGGGGTTTCTGTCGGACTCCGTTAGCCATTGATCAAAATCAAGAGGCAGTAAGTAATAAAATAGCGGAATATCGCTTATATGATCTTTTCTATAAATATTTTCCTTAGCAAAAAATTTCTTACAGCTAAAGACAAAAAGAAAGAATTATAGAAAGAAGTAGAAAAAAGTCTGTCTGCATAATATCAAGGAGGATATTGCTTTATGCAATTGGTGTTTTTCTCTCATACCGAACTCTAATATATACTGTGATAGAGTAATAGACATAGAAAATTTAGATATGACTAAAGCAAAAAAGTTGTGAGAGCAAAATGTGGAAAAGAAAAAAAAGGATAGTTGATTGGTTTGAACGAGAAGATTAGCTAGTTAGGCAGGCAGCAAGGAGGACAGTTGAGTGGATGATTATTTACGCAAAAACAGCTAGGAATTTTTAATTTGAGTCAGTTTAGAAAAGAAAAATGAAAAGATATTTAAAACTTCTTTTTGCTTCAAAAAAAAAAAATTCTATTATAAAGGCATTATTAAACATTATCAAAAACATTATCAAAGAAAATTTTGAAGGTGAAGTCATATAACACAAAAGAAACAACAACTTTTAAAACAAATAAGGAATAAAAAAGGGGATTATGAAAGAGACATCCAAAAACAGCGTAAGGAATATGGTACAAATTTTGACCGTAAATCGGTTTAAAAATGACAAAGTATGGAATCTAAAAGTTGATAAAATGCTTAAGAATACAATGAACATTTTACGGAGGAAAGTTAAAATTAGTATTAAAAAATGATAAACTAACTAAAAGGAGTTCAAAAGCATAATAAGTTAGTGCAATACTAAGACGAACAAACTGTGAAGGAAAGAGCTGCTAAAAAATTAAAACATATGTTGTATATGCTGTGTAAATGATTAGACTAAGTTTAAAACAAAAAAACAAATAAAGAAAAACATATCCACCTTTTTTTGTGCTATAGCTGAAAATAAGAAAGATAAGTATGGCAGAAAAGGTGAATACCCCGAGAAAAAAAAAAGAAAGCGGAATCTTATGCATGGCTGGGAATGTGGTGTAGCGATTCTGCGAAGCTAGTGTAAAAGTGGAATAGCAGATAAGTGTATTATTTGATGCATTTATGTATTCTAGTGTCGATATAATGAATTTAAACGGATAAAACAACAGCTTGGTTTCGGATAGGTAAGGAGTGAAAAGTAGGTATTCTACTATCACTTGACGGACGATTTAGTAACGACTATTGACTGACTAACATATGATAGATAGGTATATAAGATCATTATATGACTGTAGTTTAAATAGTATAGAATAATTTTTGTTTATAATTTTTATTTTGTGGTAATGGCCAGCGAGCTAGCCAGGAAACCACTGTTTAGTACGAAAAAAATTGACATATAAGCAAGACAGAAAAAACTTAACTTTTAAATATATATTATAAGCGCAAATTTCCCGATGTTTATGCGGTGTTTTGTCTTTATTTTAAGTAAACCTTATTAAACAAAGTACGTGCCCTTTCGATCGGAGGTAGAAGTTGTAATTCTCAAATTGATGCCTATTAATTCATGTGGTACACAAATATCATGCTCTTTTGTCATGACGACGTAGGATGAATTATCGACTTATTAACTTTCTAGAACGCAAACGGATAAATCATTTCTGTGATTTTAATTTTAGTAAAATATCTTTAGCTTTAATACCATGATATTTTACAAGTCTATCGGCGAAAACGCCGTGGATATTTTCTTCACCTATTACATGAATGAAATATAAAGATAAGTAAATGTGAATCAAAACGCATCCAAATCTGTGGGAACAATAGCACATAATTGCAGTTTGTCGTCTTCAGCTGCACCTATAAAAAGACAAATTAGGAATGATGTAATGATTGTAATTATTCCCTTAAATATTTTTTTATCAATGTTTTTGTTGAGAGGAAACATATCGACATACTTTTACCCGTATAGAATTCAAATTTCTGTGGATAACAAATTGCAAACTGCATTAAAGCCCTTACATATTGCTCCTGATGCGCTTTGCTTTTACTTTACTGAAGGATGGACGTAATATTTATAGAAAGGTTCCTACTCAAGGTATCTAATACAAAAATACCCGGTCAATTAGAAATTGTCTTGAGGAAACGCTAAAAATTCTTTATTAACGCGAACATAGAAAACCATGCCAGGTTCTGCTGAAAATACATGAGAATTAAAAATGCGTGATGAAGAACCTATAAAATATATGCTTTATAGAACGGCGGGAAGAGTAATCTTGTTTCTTTGTTTGTCGGCTAAAGCAGTCCCAAAATTTTTCGTGAAAAAAACGTTTTGCCTAAAATTTTTGGTTTCCCCGTCGTTTCGCCAAATTTCAAAATCAGCTAAAGTATTTTGATTATTTATAATGAACTGCCAGATATATGTTACCTACGTTGTTCTTTCATTGTTTCTGTATAGATAGACTGTTAATATGAAAATGCGAATAGACAACTAGTTCAATAAAACAGTGCATCGGGATCGGATTCCTAACCAAATATTTGCGTTTTGATAAATGCATTACTCTATATCAATCGTTCGCAGTACGTCGGTATATGGTCAATATGTTGAAAGTTGGCAACAACTACTCTCTCGTAAAAAATAAGTTTTCAATTAGTTTAAACGTTTTTATTTATTAATAGCGTTAATAGTATTTAGCAAGTTTTTCACATTTAAATAAACTTATAACAATGTATTCCCCTCGACGCCACAAACGGCAGTAAGAGGAAGAAAAGTAGAGTTAACTCTTATGTGTTTTTTTCTTTTTGATAGCATATGCTAACTATTTTAGACAGGGATTGATCATTCTGGAAACATATCGAAAACCGCAAATATATTCTCTCTACTAACGAAAACTTAATTGATGCTCGTTTAAATTATATAACAAAAGAAGGAGAAAGTGTTGTTCCGTGACGGTAAAAGGTTTTTAAGGACAAGATTATGTACAATAGACTAAAAAGGATGAAAAATTTAATATACAAACAGTGAAAGTGCATTGCAGGCGATCGTAATTTTAAAGGCGTAACATAAGTATAAGCTCTTTACCCGTACCGTTTACACAATCACGTATGCAGACGTTTATAATTAAACTATAAGTGACTAACTCAGAGAATATAAACGCCTTCTTTAGGAACTTAGTACAAAGATATCCAAGTTCATCGATTCTTAAAGGTTGGAAAAATTAACTAGAACCTTAAAAACTTATAATCCTTTTGTCTTCGAAAACATTTACACAAGCTTTATATCTTTTTTTTTTTTAAATCTAAGTGAGTGCCGGTCAAATAAAAAGCTCTTACTGAATTAGATTTTCTAATTGAGTGGCATTTTACAATTTTTGGCAAGCAATACATGTTATGAAACTAGTTTGATTACTTTAAAAAAGTTAAGAACAACTTTTTCTATTCATTTGGGCAATGTTGATACATCTTCACTTTTAGCGACTGGTAAGGCAGTGGCTTGCCGTCGATAAGATTGACCGTGACATAAATTAAATACGTTTCCCCCGGTAATAAATTAAATATAGCATCCGTTTCCATTAAAGATGAACTGAAATCGCAAGCAGAAGAATTTATTATGGGAATATTTGCTTACAATCATAGGCGTATGTGTGTGTATACGTACTCACATTTTTTCCTTTTTGGGACATTTTTTTGAATGAAATTGCGGATGTTCGGTTACCCGTTTCCCAAAGTCCATGCAATAATTCGTGTAATCGAAAGAACTGCGATTACGTTGCGGCAAATTGAACACAATTATGCAATATCTGAAGAATTTTTGCGGCGAGCGTGAACCATAATATTTCGATAAGAGGAGATGTGCCATAGAGCAAACAGAAAAAAAACATATATGTATATAGGTGCAGACATAATTGCGCGTTTTAGTCTACTTACTGTATCCCACGTAATTCTGGGGAACTGTACCATGCGATTTCGGTGGACCGGCATTGCGTTCGCACCTCGAATATTGTTGTATTTTCCGGTAACTCCGGAAACTGATTGAACACTATGTCAGTGGTAACAGCCAACTAAGCAATATAAAGAGTTGCATGTAATTATATGGTAGTCAATCTTTTGATGTACTTACGGCGATTTTATTAGCTCTAAGCACTTCGTCATCGTTGCTTGGCTTGAAGCGTATCATATAGCGTTCGCCGTCCGAAACCGAAGGTACATCAATATACGTAGCCTTGTAAATATTTTTCTCGTTGCCAATTATTGAGCGCTGCTTTACGATTTTAGCGTCTACCTCAGTTCCACCACATGGTAGAATTAAATAACGCAATGTGACTTTAGCAGCGTCCTTTGCAGATGGTATCTGAGAGAAACGGATTGTAGTTGACAGGAGATATTACAAATACATTGAAAAGTTTTTTATTGATAAGTTGGTTACCTTATAACTAAATACCTGAATTCCATGTAGCCCAGATATTTTTACAATATTTAAGGCGTGTGTTTTAAGTGCAGTGGGTTGGGTCCGATTAAAATACACTGACGAAGATGATAGGTGAAAAGTGAGATTTTCTCTTTTCGTATGCACACCAAAAACATCCAAATAATAGATGTAGTTGATTGCTAAGCCGCGTATCACTTGTTGCGTGCGGCTACCCGTGCAAATTACGTTGGTTATATGAGGATCTTTGGTAAGTGCGAAGCAAGAAAAAAGTACTATAAATTATTAAAATACCGAACGGGATTTGGATAACGTTTTGTATTTACCTATTTTTCTGGACTTTTCCGCCTGCTTACCAAACACCAAATCTAAGATATTAAAAAACGCACATGAACGTGGATTTTTATCATATCCGCCGGAAACATATTCATCAATAGCTGCGCAAAGATCTTTGTGGGCATGTCGTGTACTAACCACCAAGCAATACTGGACTGCATGGAAATCGAATTTACTGAAAATGTATGAAGTAGGAGAAAGAAACGTGAGTGTGATAGGAAAATGTCTACCTTTTATTCCATTTAACAATCATTTGCCGCTTTCGGACTCGATTCTGAGTACGTATGTTAACACATTGCGTACGGTTAAGCAATATCCATTGGTCCCCGGAACGCCAAGCATGTGCTTCAATCTTGATTGAGCCCCTGTGACGAGCCTGAACAAATAAATCGTATTGCCCTTTCAAGGCGCAATGCAAAATCAACGTACGCTGATTGGCCTTGGAAGAACGTATTAAGTTGGCTTAGATGATAGGAACAGAAAACATAGAATAAAATTTTTATAACTTCATCTTAGGTTAGCCTTTGTCTTACTATTACCAACTTACCTGATTTATTAAAATAAAGTTTACGAGCCACTATTTGGGAAAAATTTATATTTAAAGGCGTAGATGTGTTTAACTGTAATACAAATCTGTGTCGACAAAAGAAAAGGACAAGATTGAAAGATAATAAAACAGTGTTAAATGAAATAGCCTAGTACAAGGTGTATTAATTCTGCTGCGGAAATGGATACATTTCAAAGAACATCTGTTGAATTTGCGCATCAGCTTGGGAAAATACTTGCTTAAAATATGCTTGTGCAAAAAAGTTCCCAACCAAGCTTGACGGATAAAGAAAGGAAGTAAAAGAAATAGATTTCTCGGTATAGTCGCAGTCAAAATTTAACTGAGACTGAGAATATCTTTACGTCTAGAGGGCGTTTACGAAGAAGCACTTAATAAGCTACATGGGTATTTTGCAACTATTATCAATCAATGAGGAATGCCCTACTCCGTGATTGTAACAATGTGGATTTAAAATTTGCCATAAAAGTAACACATTATTAAAAAAAAATTTCACATAAAATTTATCTTTTAAAGAAATTAATATTATTCACCTATTTTATCTATAAAATAACAAAAATTAGAGAATATTGTCACATAATAGCTTATTTTTCATCGAAAACTTTTTATGGCAGTAAACGTAAGTGTACACTTGATGGGGAAGTGTTAATTGCGGTAAACAATCGCTAACTTCATCTGTTTCCTGGGTACTTACGTATTAAAGCCATCGCGGCAAAAATGGGATTAAAAAACCAGTAAAAAGCAACCTTTCAATCTTTTAAAAAAAAGTTTTTTGGCTTCTGAATATAATAATAATAATAATAATATTTTAATAATTTTTATTTTAATACTAATAATAATATTTTTGCCGCGGTGGCGTTAATACGTAAGTACCTTTTTCTGCCTTATCGTAGCTTCAACGATTGAGTTTCTTTGCGTTGAAATTAGGACGCACAGCTTTGATATGTATGTAACGTGTTTCTCCTGTCTCTCATATTGTTGTTTGCCTAGAGCATAAGTCTCTGATTATAAACTTTGTTCACCGCTTCAAATCCAATGATAGTTTGATTGTATTGGCGGATCAATTTCCACTAATCTTCTTAAGCTCTATAGTCAAATTTTTAAAGTGTTTTCTGACCGCAAGGAAACGGATGTTATATTCATCGATTTTTCAAAACGTTCGACGGACTAAATCATGACTTGCTAGTTTATAAAAAACATGGTATTTCGACTAACCTGGGTTCTTCAGTTCTATCCAATACAGAGCAATTTCTTTAATTTCTGGTGTTCAGCAGGCTAGCCGTCTTCGACCATCTTTATTTATGTTATTTACGACATCCCTAAGTGCATTCAACATTTCTATGTATGTATGTTTGTTTGTTAAACTTTCTCTTCGCTATAACTCATTCTGTTGTGTTAAACTTCTTCGTTCTGATCTTGTGTATACTTAGTGTGTGACTAACGGAATGGTCCTGAATTAAACAAAATGTAAAAAGTTGTCATTTCTTTGGTTTAGATTATTGCGCCCCTCTTATATAATATTAATAACCACATTCGGGAAGACGTGCCCAACTTTAAAGGTTAAGGTATTTTCGACTCTAAACTTATGTTTGATATCCTTATTGAGATTGTTGTTAATAAAACAAGATCCCTCCTTGCGTATATAAAAAGATGGTCTAAAGAATTTAATGACCCCTATGTTACTGAGAGCTTATGCACATCTTTAGTAAGGTCACAACTAAGCAGCTGTTGTTTGACTCCTTACTTCCAGATGCCATGTTCTCCATCTTAGGTCTGTTCAACAATACTTTTTATTATTTGCTTTGCGTTGTTTGGGATAAGATCTCGCTTTAATTCTTCCACCGCATAAAAACAGACTGAGACTCAGATGTTTACTAACTTTAGTAAAAACAATGAAAATATTATGTGTAATGTTTTTATGTAAACTAAGCTATAAACACCATATGACGTATGTAATTAAACGAAATCTTTCATGCTTTCGCTCGAACCCAGATTATAAAAGTTTTTTCCCGGTCATAAAAGTTTTTCCAAATTTGTTGGACGCGAATATGTAATTAAGTTATTTTTTTTTTGGCGCTAAATAATCTGCATACGTTATAAATTTAAGTTTTATTGCACATGCCTAAATACGTGCAGTGCTTGCTTAGATAAAAAATACGTTAGCTTTTCTTTCGTTTTTTGTAGCCGATTGTAAGATGGTATATACGTGCTTGTTTGTATATCAAATTATTGCTTAAGTTGATGCTGTTGTATATTTTTAATAATTTGCAGTTAAGCTATATTTTAGTTTGTATTCAACTAATGATATTATGTACAGCAGAACTTAGTTAAATAAATAAATATCGTACGACCGAAACGGTAGTCACCTCCATCCAATGCAAATGAAATGACTCGTTCGATTAGGTTATTGTTTTGCATAATGCGCGGTAAATGTGTATCGAAAGAAATCTGGCAGTGACTTCAATCCAAAAGAACTTTTACGTATAGAAAAAGTAGCTCCTATTTGACTCTATCGTGTGTTAATCTACCTGTCAGCAAAGGATGAGGAGTATATATATTTTGTCAAAACGTTTGATGCCCAAAAAGATGGTTCAGAGACCCCAAAAAGTACATGCATTCTTGGGCAGCATCAGATTCTGAATTGACTTAAACATGTTCATCTGTCCGCCCATCCATCTGGCTGTGTAATGTCTATTTTAAACATTGTCCTGGCTGCAAAAATTAAATTGCCGATTTCACATTTGGCAGAAACATTGGAAGGTTTTGCACGCAGATCAAAGGGCTACATAACTGATGACACCTCTTTTTTTTAAAAACACGGAACTAGGGTTCAAAAACCGAGTTAAGTGTATAAATTTTGGCCACTTTCAAATACGGAGAGTACCTAGGCACGCCCGTTCATTGATCTGTCCATCTGTCCGCCTGCGAAACTGTGTAATATATGTGGCAACATACTATCGTTCGCAAAAATGAAGATATCGCTTACAAACTTGCAAAAGAATTTGGAAATGACCCAAACTTTTCAAAGAATCCGCCAACAATCCCTAAACGTCTATGTAACAAAAACTTTTTGCTTGTTGCTCATAAAGTGGAACACATGCATGTTATAAATTCCCTTTTTATTCTAAAAATAGAAAAAATCAACCGCGCCGTCCAATGTTATAGAGTATAACTATACAGTTCTTCTCCTCTTTCGATCGAATATCATTTTCTTACTTGTTAATATTTGATAAAGGTGTATAAAATGAAATTAAACACAAGTAAGTTTTATATCCATCACCGTTATCTTAAAAAGACAAAACAAATAAAAGACCTAAATTTTCAAAATGAAAGATTTTCTAAGATGTGTGGGCGTTGTGATATTTTCATTTTCGCTAAGGGGAGAATGTTTATCACGGATTCTACACAGTTGGGCTGACGTACAAATGGATAGACAGTTATGCTTAAAAAGATTTGGATTTGCGTGCTGAACAAAAATATACACACATTATGAAGTCTCTGAAGCTTCCGTCTGGGCGCTACAAACCTTTTGACGAAATTAATTCTTCGGTGCTGGATACAAAAATTATACAACGCTGTGCAATAGGAATCGGTATTTTTATTCATTTTTCATTATAAAACCAAGTTAAAGAATAAGTATCGGCTTACTCATCGTCAAAAAAGTAAATATTAGTTTGGGGAAAAAGAAATCCATTATTTTTATATGAACTTCAAGACTTTATTTAACATGCTTCGGATTGTTCGATTTGGGTCAAATATGCACTGCTTTGTTGTATAATTTGTTGCCATTTTAAAGGTAACTTCAAAATGCCTCTCTCATAGAAGTCCTGGTCTCTATTTACAAAAAACTCTAGTAGTCGATTTTCACAATCCTCCCTAGATTCCAAT